TATCGGGCAGACATAAATCGCTTCTCCTCTCCCGTTCGAAAGAACGATATAAACGGACACACCAGCGGCGAGTTAGCTAGCAAACTGTTACTATGATCTACCTAATGTTATGGACGATGTTTCACGGTATTATGTGGCATTCGTTAGCAAGTACTAGGTAGCAAGTATATCCGCGCCGTCTATTCTGTATTGTCGCCTATAATTTATCGCTACTAGGTCAAAATTATGAATTATTTGGCGGAGAGACCGTCAACGAGTTGCGACGACTTGTCCCGTTGATTCACGTAGAGAAAGGGAGAGAGGGGATACACAGCGAAAGACAGAATGGAAAATGACGCGTGTCGTAAAGGAAAGAGACAAACAGGTCACCGACCGGTTCCCGGTGACAATTCTGACGGCCGACCAACGCACCGGCTGTCAAGTATTCCTACATTATTAGCGGAACTAGGCCAAGGTGCAGGTTCACTAAACCACGATGTAAACTGGATTAGCTTTATTTTCATCGATAGCCCACGATAGAACCGTTCCTAAAATATTTCGTTTAGATTATCATTAATCGTCTAATTAAATTCGACTGTAAATTAGTCTTGGAATATCATGAGTTTTTATGCGATGTTTTGCATTTATATAACTTTCTTCTTTGGAGAATGATTCTTTATCAAATTATTCTATGAAATATCATTTATTTAAAGTATTTTACATTTTTTAACTTTAATTTATTCAACATTTTATATCTATAAAAAGATAAAATCATCCTTGTTTAAATTATGCTTACACTTTTTTCCAAGTTACATTATCATAATAATTAACGTATCGCAAGCTAATTTTTATAATTTATGTATTTTTCAAAAGACGAAATATTTCTTATCGCACAATAATTTTCATCACAATTTCCTCATATATTTTATCGCGACGTAATCTTCCATTTACTTTACCAAGTTTAACACATTAATTATATATTAATCGAGACTGTACGACTTCTTGTGGAGTTGAGAAAGGTAAAAAAAACTGTAATAACAATGAACGAACGGGAAAACGGAACCGCGCCTATGTCCATCGATTAGCGTTCTGAAAACCATTCGTGCGGTCGTGCAAGCGACCATACGTGGGACGAGGTAGCGTGGGGACGATTCGTGCGCGCATTGAAATTCCCTCCGATCTCGCGGAGGCCGAGTAGCCGATTTTTATCGAGTACACGACTGGTTACCGGACGGCACTCATAAACCGCATTCGATATCGAGGAACGGTCCAACGCGCATAGAATAAAAACCACTCGAGCGGACAGGCACATTCGCGACATTTCGATCGAGACGAACCTTTCGAACATCGAAGGGTTCTTTCGATGAACGAAATGAAGCGACGAGAGGAAAATACGGCCCGAGGGAAAGAATTAAACGAAATGTTTCGCGTAATAATTAATATTTAATAAAAGCGACAGGAGGTGGAAATTTCTACCGCGGGATAATCGATAGAGCAGCTCTCATACGTGATGAGCTGAAATTCTTGCGTGTCTGGAGCAGCGCGTCACAACCCGTCGTGCGAAGTAACAGACAGAGAAAACCAATAATTCATCATTCATATTCCACGACCGAACGTTAAACTTGATTTATTCGACGCGACAGATCGAATGCATTTTACGAAATCAAATATCCAAGTGTTATTTTTGCATATTCCAATTTCATCTCATCTCGTTTCATTTTGAACACGGGTCAACGTACTCGGATCGATTCGCCAAAATATCGCTGAATTCAGCGATAGTCACGGATCTCTTGTCGTACGCGATCGAAGAAACCACCAGTTTATTTCGCTACAAAGTCGATGGCTACTCGATATTTTTATACAGTTGTTTGTAACGCGCTGTCCTTTTATAACCGGAGGCCGACGGCCGTCGGAGCGTCTACCTTGCTCGGGTTTTTTTATCCGTAACGCTCCTATATCGGGAAGATTATCGGCTCAACATCGATCGATCGCTTTGAGAGCCGTCGTCATTCAAAGTCCGACGACGGTTCGACACGCGCCTCGTCCTTTTGAAACTTATTGTAGCGTGTGTGCTCGTGACAAATACACACTACCTCGTTTGACACACACACATCGTTCGTCTCGTTCGTTTTTACCGTTTTGCGAATATCCATGCGATTCGAGTGCTCGGTCAAGCGTGGGCCTAAAACGGGTCTGACGAGGACACGTACGTTTCATGGATCATTTAACGATAATCTATTGCCACTTTGATATTTTGGCCAATTAATTTTGCTCGATTAATTTTTATCCGTTCGATCGAGGAATATCGTATATACGCATTCCTAACTCGATTTCTTTTATAGGCTTGAATATCGTAAATTATCGTACAATCCTCGAGATAATTTTTGATAATTGTGAGTATAATTTATTAATTTGATAAAAAATGGAAAGTCGATTAAAAAAATGTATTATATCATCGAGTGAAAATAACATCTATTAAATAACATCTATTTAATAATCAAATATTAGAAATGTGGAAGATTTCTCTCTCGCAAGGAGAAAAAAAATGACATACACCAGCAAATCAAACGGGTAGTGGAGATGCGGCTAACAGTACCGATGCATTAAGGAAGTAGCGAATGTGTCGTACTAAAGAAGTTGCGACAGAACACTCGTCGGCTGGGTTGATCGCAAAATAATCATCTAGCGGCTTAAAGATTTCCTCTCACGTTTACGTTGGACCGACACAAACTTCGGATTCCCTCTTTCCGGTTATTGCCCTTTCTAGAGATTGCGTGTCTACCGCCGTTTCTTATTTACACTCCATTACCACGTTTCATTTTCGTCGTTCTGCCTAACAAGCGCGCGAGTTGTAGCTACAGACACAAGTTGGTCTTGCTAATTAACGTTCAATGATAAGTACATTGTTGGCGGGTGTTCTTTCCGGTATTTTATTTTATTCACAGATCTCCCGGGATCCGTCTTTTCTCACGAAAGTTCAATTGACGTTTCACGTCAGATCTTTCGCCTCTTACTATCAATGTTTAAATATAGTTTAAATATAGTTTAAATATAGTTTAAGAATTATTGAATCTCCAATAAAAACAAAAATTAAAGTAATGGTTAAAATGGTGAAGAGAAATGTTCCCCTTTAATACAATTACTGTAGCGGCGAGGATAATGCAAGACTCTTAACAAGCAACTCGCGCGAATCATTATGCAGCATCGTACTCGGGCTGCTAGGATCAACAGCGTTATTGCGATCGATACGCGGAGTTAACTGTTCATCGGAAATCTCGCGTTTCCGTTGAAAGGCGATTTAATATATCACGCCCGTCGATCGTTGCAGTCGCGAGAGCTATCGGACGCACGTCGACCGTGACGGATTCGCGTCCGCTCTTTTTTGCGAGGAACAAGATTGCTTCGCGTCTTCGACAAGATCGCCGGAGATCCGTCAGGAAAATAGTAACGTTCGACCGCGAATGCAATAGCGGTTGCACGTGTTGAAACGAGGCGCCGCGTCATGCAGAATTTCAGATGATCGTCGTCGTCGTCATCATCGTCGTCGCCGCTATGGTTTCCATAAGATTCGGAAGAGAATTCGGTCCGCCGCAGGAATGTCCCGTTTATTCACGCGTGTTTCTTTCTTTCTCTCTCTCTCTCTCTCTCTCTTTCTTTCTTTCTCTCATCGTCGGAAAGAACACCGAGACAGTCTATTTCGATATACAAAGGAAACCTCCATAGATTCCTCTAGTTTACATTTTTCGTCTCTCGCAAGGGGACCCGCGAGCCATTATTTCCTATATACCCGGTATTTCTATGACTCATTATGTAGGATCGCGTGGTCTGTTTTTAAATTTCCCCTCCCTCGATCGTTGTTCAGAAAAATTGATATGCATTTTCGACTATCGATCACAAGCCAGAAATCGATTTTGAAAAAAATTGTTCATCTCAATTCGCGCAATCGCCTACGTTCCGCTTAAAAGATCTCGAGTAATCTTAAACGAATATATATTTTGTATGGCATGATTTGCCAATCATGATATTAATGTCCGAGATTTCGTCGTTTTATATCACGTCATCTTCCGGATATACGGACTTTCAGGGTCCCGCGTATCCTCCGGATTGGAACGGAGGCCTCCTTGGTATTCACGCATCGACGGTGTTTGGCTCGGTATTCAGACACTGACTGTTAATTGTACGAGGTGTTCGTCTGGCTATCCTTCCCAACACGCATACCTATGTACGTCGCTTTGAATTATTTAGGCACCATCGGCCGGTTCTCTTAGACTCGACTGTCGGTTCATCTTGGCGCGAAAGAAGAGATTAATATCCTACAATCGTTCCTCTCCTTTAATCTTTTCTTAGTCATCAATCGATATACGCGAATCAATGTATACGAATTAATTATTCGATCGATACTTCTTTACTGATTACATATTAATGAGATAATCGTACTGTGAATGACGTCTAGCAGGTAGTCGATTGTAATCTTACATTTACAACAGAAACAGATGTAATAAAATTACTTTTTGTATTAAAAAATATTTTTTAAATAATCAAATATTTGCTGTCGAAATGTAATATTCTTTTTTAATTATAATATTTCTAAAAAAAAATCTACGTATTCTCTAAGGTCGTTCCACGAATGGAATCTTGTCACTAGAGCAACACAGAGAAAATCTTTCTTGTTTCTAGAGAGAGTAGGGTTACTTCACTATTATCCTTCTCGAAACAATAAGAGAAACGTATGAATTTCCGTGCAAATTTTTATAAATCTCCCCTTTCACATCCCCGGATCACTTTAGAATCGGGACATTCCTTTGATTCGGCACACATCATCACAATTTATAGAATCCATGACGACGACAACGATCAAGAGTATTGTTATCCAACCGCGTGCAACCGAATCACTGATCTTGATCACTCGAAGTCACCGAAGGAGGCGCGATCAAAGCCTCTTCGACACTTGTCCACCCTCGGTCGGTCGAGCCGAGGGAAGAAGGACTTCCGGCACCAAGTTACTCGTCACGATCACTTACCTATCCAGCACGGTCGTCGACGGCGGACGACCCTGAGGGCTCGACGATGCGACGACGTGGTCCTCTCTCTCGACGCACGATCGACGATTAGTTACTTCGCACCGATGCTGCCGAGTCTACCGTAAGATTAACGTTACTTGCTCCCCGGTGCCGCGATCGTCTCTCAAAGGGAAAACGAGGCTCTTCTCTCGCCACCCTCTGACGAGCGTGTGTGCGAGAGCTTACTCTCTCTCTCTCTCTCTCCCTCTCTTGCTCTCTTTAGCTGGCCCCTCAAAATCACCGCAACACCACACCGAACAGAAGTGAACTACTCGTGCGCCGCCGGTTCACGGTACCTTAAATACCTTGGCAGCCGCGCCGCCGCCACCGCCACCGCCGCCGCCGCCGCCGCCGCCACCGACGCCGTGCGCGTCGTGCGGCCCCCTACCTTAAACTCGCCCCACACGGTGTGCGAGCGGATTGGCGGGGGAGCAGCGCGAGGCGATGTGTACCCGCAGGCTACACACCGGAGCATCCTCTCTTTTTCTTCCCTCTCTCGTTCCCTCTCACGCGCGCGCCTTCTCCATATCGGTTCTCCTCCCTCTTTCTCTCTCTTTCTCTCGTTACTTCTTCTCGTTTCGTTTCTCTCCTCTTCTCCCGTTCCGCGCGCCTCTCATCCTTCTCTCTTTCGTCCCCTCTCTGCTCCTTTTTCTCAATGTTCGACCACCAACGGCACGTCCGCAGGACTAACGCGTGTAACATCCCAGGTAGCGGCGCGAAATGGAAGGATATCCTTTTTGTCTCGCTGTCCTTTCCGTCTCGCGGGGCATCCTTCGCTCGCTCGCGGATTGTCCTGAACGTGTCGAGTGTCATCGGCGAACGGTTCGTGGACCGTTCGACTATGATAGCCGGCCGAGAGGAGCAGGACGACGACGTGGAGCACGACCGATCGGTCGTCGCGCCGCTGGACCTGCGATGCGCGAATGCGAGTGCGCATAAGCGCGGAAACAGCGGGCTGCGCCCGTCCTGGTCGGCGCATTCGCGCTACGCGCGTCGATGCGAGCGTATCCGGTGCTCGACACTCTGCTTCTCCGATCTCTCGACGAAGCTAGGACTATCGAAGCAAATCCGAATGATGCGATATGAATCACCGAATGATTCGATCATTAATTTTCGGCGAATATTTTTGTGCCAAGATATTGAATTTTGCGACAAGTGTTTGGCATGCATCAATTTTCTTCCTTTGATTAGATATTACCGGGAAACAGCTTATATCTTGAAGCTTCTCCGAGAATTAGACGCAAGTGTTGATCAATGCCATTGAAAATTCAATCCGCTGACTCACTATCGAATCTTTACATCGATGAGTATACATGGGGAGTTCTTGACGAATCGAAAGTCAGTTTACCGATCGTTTTAAGAAAAAAATCTTATAAGGAAACCTTCAACCGTGGATCTCTATCTCCATTGATTCGCGTCATCGGACAAGACATTTTTTTGGTCGATTTTCGTATGGGATATCTCTCTTCCTGCGTGTCGCGGCGAAATAACGTTAGTCCGTATAGATTGTTCCCCCGGAATTCTTCCTTCCACATGGTCGTTAATCGATCGCCCGAAGGTTGGCAAATTCCGTAGATTCAGTCATGTCCCACGAAAAAAAAAAAACATCGTTTTAAAGATGATCTCATCGAGATTGATCAAAAAGCGTGTGTAATAAAATGTTGTACAACTCGCAACTATCTAATTGCGGATCGGTGGTCCATCTATTACACATTATAGATTAAGACTGACACATTAATACGCTATAAGTTATTCTAACGGCACGCGAGATACCATCGAGTCCTTCTCTCTTTAAGGAAAGCTATTCTCAGACTTGATACAGAGGCGCTCTTTCGTACACAATTCATTTGATTATATCTCGCAAGATCTCGTCCGTGTTCCCCCCTCAAAAGAAACGCACAAAAATTCTCCCAACGACCAGATTATTAATTGTCAGCGGTTGCCGATAAACCTTCGCGATGTCCAGGAAGTTAGCCGATACCGTTCGCCCTCCTGCCCGCCGGCCATACGTACATTGGTACTGTGCATCGTTCATATTTATGACGGAGAGAAGTTCATCGAGTACAGGAGAGCAACCGTAAAGCATCGAGCGAGGTGCTTGCGATACCCGAGACGATGTATCCACTTTGGCTCATCGGATGATCGAGGGGAAGGGAATTCGGTTCAGCGAACCGCACGCGCACGACGAAAGTGCTCGTAGTCTTTCTCTCACTGAGATATCGGTGCCATTGACACTGACATAATAACTCGCCGGGACTGACATAAAGCGGCAGTCACGAATGAAATTGCCGTCGATGGTGTAACGCTCTCTTGCATAAGAGAGAGCGGAGATTGAGCGGTGTGCCACGGAAGAGAGAGCGCGAGAGAGAGAGAAAGAGAGAGAGAGAGGGACAGAGAGAGGACGGGCCCAGAGCAGGGTGACGACGAGAAAGTGAAATGGGAAAGAGAGAAAGAGACACTGTCGAGAACACAGACAGTGAACTTGACCTGAATCTCGGTCAGGGAGAAAGAATGATCGTGGGCTCCTGTAGAAAGGAGAAAGGAGGTAGAGAAAGAGCGGGACCGAGGAAATTACTTTCGATTTCGAGCTCTCGCGGGATCGGTTACACTTTCACCCTCGTCCACCGCCGCGCGACGAGATCGTTTCTTCTCTTCTCCCCCAATGTGCTGCTCGCAACATGTCATTACACCTTGCTCTCATGTCATATTCGACTTCGACTGTCGGGACATTTGGGGGAGAACCGCGATCGAAAGCGATCGATGAAAATATAAATCAAACTTTTACCAATGTCACAATTTTTCCGTAATAATGATAGATATGACTGCTGCTTCAATCTTCAAAATTTTAATGAAAATATTTACCGAGTTTAGAATAGTTCGGATATATATCTATCGCACGCTCGACATACAAAATTACCATTGATAAAGATCATGACATTTCAGTTTGATCGAGTGATTCGATTAAATGGCGCCTAAATGGCAGAACGAATTTATCACGAACATCGCATTTAACGGTAATCGTTGAACTTATAATTTGACACAACTGTCAATATTATAAATATAAATCAGCGTGGGAATTATCTAAAAATTAGACTGAAAAGTATGTCGCTCTTCTGTTGTTGTCACCTAAAATATATCCAGCCGCAACATCGCATTTGTAACATCAGATTAAAAATTCTGATATTCAATTAGATTTAGATATATTTATAAATTTAGATTTAGATATCAGAAATTAATTTAGATTTAGATATCAGAAATTAATTATAGATTTAGATATCAGAAATTAAATTAAAATTTAATTTCTAAAATTACAAGGTAATTTCAGAAATTATTCACAAATAAATTAGATCATAACATCAAAATTTTAAATCTATTTCTAGGATTAAAAAAAGATACTAGAATACATCAATAATATGTGTGTGTATTAATTTAAAGAAAAATTAAAAATAAATTTCACACCACACCGTTGATTTCAGTTTCCGGCTGCTCGGATAGAGAGAGACGTTTCTCGATATTCGAGCGGGCGACGAACGGCCTTGTGATATTTGCCGCGTAGCGAACTTGACGACACCGCACGCCGGATCGATACCGAGATTCTCCGATGAGAATATCGACGCGGTCCCGTTCCCGACAGGAATGTGCTCGCTTGCGGAATCATAGAGCGACTCTCACACCAATCTACAGGTCAGGACATTACAGTCGCGCGTTCCTTTCCTTCTCCCGGTTCAGGAGTTCTTCCTGACGCGGAGAAAGGAGTATGCCGTTGTAGATATTGTGCGGCAAATCTGCCTTGCTGTCTACAATTTAACTGCGACCCCCGCCTCGTAAATAAACGCGCGACCGGTACCGCTCTCATTGGCAAATGGAGATATTATGCGGGCCTGCCGGTCGGTTGGATACGAGCTGGAGCGAGAAAAAGGGGCGGTGGTAAGAGGAGACGGGCGAGGGAAAAACGGAACACGTTTCTGTCTTCGCGGTTTTCCGGTAAAAGGTCGCGTGTATAAAGCCGGCGAAATATTTGTCGGGCTCCTTACGGGAGCGTACGTGAACATCGGCGTGCACACGTGCGAATAGGGGTGTCGGCAAATAGTATCCCCCTCGATAGATCGTAAACACCGGAATTTATGTACGAGGGAAATGTTTCTAACGCGCGTGCAAGTCTGGAACGAGATCTCGCGATACCGTTTTGCAGCCAGCTTCCCGTTTAGAACAATAAGTGACGAGAGGATTAGCGGGAATCAAGAACGTCGATAGACGACCTAGTCGCAAAGTGACGCAAACCGCTATTTCGATGAGAAGAGTCTGACTTTGTTCGATAATAAATGGCCTTTTAAATCTTTTAAACATTCATCTTCGAATTTTTCAAACATTTTATCTTTATTCATCTCGTTTTATGAGAGAGATTATTCTCGATTATAATGCTAGATTACACAGGCAATCAAGACTATTATGTTCTAGGAATGCAGAAAATTAGAAAGGGAGAAAATATAGTTCTGCACAAGGTTGCAAAGGTATCGATATCTGCAGTTTGCGACCGCGTCAGGTTCGCGAGGCGCACGTAGCATATGACGGAAGAATCGTCCTCTTCCTGGACCGTCTTATTGTCGACATCACGACTCAGCGCACGCCGTCAGACCGAAATAACGTGAAAAACGATCACGTGTCCCGCGTCGCACGTGCTATCGCGAACACGCATTTCGGATTCTGAGTAAGAATAAACGTCCTCGCGTTCGCGGCGCCTGCATTATCGTCGATTTCGTGGCTCGCTTTACAATTTTTCGCCCGTTTCGTGCGAACGTGGCCTGACCCGATGCAACTTCCGCGACGTCGAGTCCACATATAGCTCCGTCAATTACGCCGATCGAAAAAGAAATTTTGATACGTGAAATGCGCCAAGTCTAAAATTTATCCTATCGCTCGAGTTTGCACAAATTTCTCGAATATCCGACTGGTAAATGCATGACGGAAACGTCACTCCCCCGAATCGTTCCGTCCTGCGGACACTGTTCTATATATATCCTCGCGCATTCATGTCGCGGAAAATGTAGATAAGAAGTTTACGAGGAATTTTACTCATCGTGTTGGAAACATTATGTGACAATCTCTCGTGATATCAGCTGAAATATAAAATGAGACAGCGCATTGATTAAATATAGGTATCCTTTCTATAATTATCATTTGCCCTCGTTCGCGTTATATAATAATAAAACAGAATTATACGACAGGATCGTAACAGATGCTTTATTATACTATGTACGGAAGT